GCCAGAAGACACAAAGAGCTCATTGTCACCAAGTGCTCTGCACCGAAGCTCGATTCCGCGATTGCGCAAGCGCGCCCCGCGACTGCGCGAGCTTCCTGAAAGTGCCCAAGCTCGGCGTGTGCACTTGCGACCGCGGCCAGGCAACTCAAAATAGACAAGTGCTGAGAGCCGAAATGCAGTTCGAGGGTTTTCAAGCTGCTCTCCGCCAGCTGCAGCTGTTCCTGATACTGGCCGAGGTTGCCCATGGCATGCGCGTGGGTGGCGAGTGCCTCTGCCACTAGGACGTGCTTTGGGCCATAAGCCTCTTGGAGAATGTCGCAGGCCTCTTTGGAAGCTTGCGCGGCCTTCTTATAGTCGCCGGTGCTTGCCCAGGCCTGTGCCAACATCCTCAAGGCCCCAGCGCTCCGCACATGTTTGCGTCCATGCTCACGTTCGATAATCGTCGTGCTGCGGAAGGCCAGCTCCAGTTGCTTCTTGTAGTTCCCCAGGCCTGCTTCAGCAAGTGACAACCCACCCAGTGTTGCAGCAACTTCGAGATGTTCAACTCCAAATTCGCCTTCAACAATCGATAGGACCCTTTCCAGCAGCTCCTTCTGCTTCTGGTACTCTCCCAAGCGCCCGTAGCTTTCTGCCAGGCTTCTCATCGCCACGGTGGTGTTCACGTGGTCAGGTCCGAACTCTCGCTGTTTGATCCAGAGTGCTTTCACAAGCAGCTTCTGCTGTGACGTGTACTTCCCGATGTGGGCATGTGCAGCAGCCAGGTTGACCATGGCGATGGCCGTGCTCGGATGGTTGCATCCAAAATGCTTCTCCTGCGGCAGTGAATCAACAAAAATACTGTATTGGGTTTGTCAAGGTTCACCACTTGCCGCGCCCCGTGTCCGGTCTTCTGTGAATTTGGGGCCGGTCCCGGTCGGTGTCACGATCATGTTTCGGTCGTGTTCGGGTGGGTGTCCCAGTCTGTCCATTTTCGGGGCGGCGGTGTCTTTTTTGCTTGGTGTACTTAGCTAAGGAGGCGAACAGGGTGAACATGCGCGCGTCTGCCGAAGCAGCTGCAGGAAAAGCTACCTTTCTAGTGGCTGACGTCAGATTCTCAGCATGCCAGATGAAGGTGCCAAGATACAGTGTCAAGGTCAGCTCATTCACACGGGTCTCTCACAGCACAGAGATACGTTTCTTTCTTTGGCTTAAGCTGGCGGGAGTCAACGTAGAGCGGCGAAGTCACCAAGACCCGGGCCTGGCCAACCCCCCCGGTGCAACAGAGATGCATATGCCCTGTCCTTGATGGTCAACGCCTTCTCCAGCAGCTCCTGTTGCGCCCCGTAGTTGCCGAGGTTGCCTTCAGCATCTGCCAAGTTCACCTCAGTCGGACCCACTGAGTTCTGTCGGATCCACATGAAAAAAGGCGCAGCAAGGAAGTGCCCACCACTGACGAAGATTCTCCTTTCTATGTCGTCTAACCCTGAGTGTCAAGATACCATAGTAGCCGCGGCGTCGACATGCTCCGGACCCAACACAGCCCTGTCAATGCCCAACACACGCTCCAAAATGTCTTTCTGCTGTTGGTAGTTGCCCAGATTGCGGTGCGCAGAAGCCAAGGTGCTCAATGTGGAACAAAGCTTCGAGCTTCCCACGCCAAATTCTGCTTCTTCAATACTGAGCGCTGTTTCACCTGCCTCCTTCTGCTTGTGGTACTCCCCGAGCTGTCCGTGCGCATCGGCCATCAAACCCAGCGTCACCCCGACTGTTATGTGGCTTCCGCCAAATGCCTTATCTTAAGCTTTGATGCATCTCCACTGCATGCAGGCGGAATGCAAAAGTTCAGTGGACCAAGGCGCTGCTTCGTAGATTCGAAGGGCTCTCTGCAGCAACTGCAACTGTTGCCGATACCGGCCCAAATCACCAGAGGCGATGGCAAGACTGCACAGCACCCGGGCAGATGGCAGCGACTCAACCCCATGTTTCTCCTCGCAGCATCTGAGCCCCGCGGTACCTGGACCGAGCCAATGCACCTAAATGGGCTTCAGCTTCCAAACCGCTGCAGCCGAGGGGCCCAGCGTGAATGCGGCATCGCCACTATATGCGTGCCCGCAAACAGAGCAGGTCAGCTCATGAAACGCAGCTTTGTGCAGGTAAGCCTGCAGGGCTCAGCTTGCAGGAAGCATGCAAACGAACCGGAGCATGTACAGATGGAGGGTGGGAAGGGTGGGAAACCATAACTGGCAGACCCTGTTTGCATGGAAAAGGAACGCAGAAAAGCATTAAGCTTGCATAGTCAACCGGCCTTGAGCAAACAGTCTCGATGAACCCATGCGGCAGATCCACGGCACAAACAAGGTGACAGTAGGGAAGCGCCTGAATGTCAGGTTTCGTGTAATGGGTAGAAGCCTAAACCATCTAGCTGCATCAATCACAAAATCACTGGCCCATCCAATCTCAATCAAAGTCGAAAGGCAAGTGGCAGCTGCCCTCGTCCAAACAAATCCGGCACTGCTTGGCGGCTGGAGGTGAGGCCATTGCTTAACATGAGCTGTGGACTCAACGTCACATTGCATTAGCGTGGGTTAGTTTGCTTGCTTCGTTCAGCCTTGTCATAACTACAACTAGAGGAGGTCTCTTTGTCCTGCACACGAAAACATCCTCAACCGAAGCTCTGCGACCGAACCAGGATGTCGCATGTCCAGCATGACCCCGCTCTGTCTTCCCAATTTCATCATCACATCCCGGAATCCCCCCCTGAGCCTGAAGGTTTCGATGTCGATGTCGCTCAGCCCGAGATTTGTTTTCAGGGCTGGGCTCTTGACGTCCGAGCTTTGCTTCCCGACGAAATGGTACTCGTCAATGTCACAAGTGCGCTAGCAACAATTCAATGGCGGGCCTAGGCCTTGACTTGCCAGTCCAACAGATACCTTCACGGGGAAAAGACGACATGAGCACACAAGCAATCTAGGAGCCGTTCTTATCCTTTCCGGACAAGTCATTCGGATACGTCGCCGCATGTGACGATCTGGGTTAGGTAGCTTGCATCGTCCAGCAACGACTTCAACGAACACAGCACATTACAGTATTTCTTCGCTTGGGCTGACAAACAGCATGTAGCCCCGACTTCAAGACGGATGCCATCCTAAGACGCTGGCACTGTCCAGCTTCTTTTTTAATGCCATTGCAACATCTCGTCTGTTGCGTCGCATGCAAAGCGGCAAGCACCAAGCGACTCGCAATGCACTCGAGACTCCACTGCGCGTGCCGCGATTGCTCCCGGCAGCGCAAGCAAAGATCTGGTGCGATAGAAGGTCTGCCTAGCGGGACATGATAAGCACCCCAGTTGGGAATCTGCGGTTCAGTGTCATTGCCGGAAAGACCACCCCAGCTCAGGTGTGGTCTTTCTAAAGTCAACAAAGATGCCAGGGTTTTCCATCGTGCCGAGTGACAAACGTTGCCTTTGGGGTACATGGTACATGGGGGTACTTATCGGATCTCAGGTGCATGCCAAAAAGTGCTTGTGGAATCCAACCCTCCAGCCGGCAGCTTTCTCCGCCGGCCCAAAGGGCGAGATTGGTCAAGTGATCCCTAAAAAGTAAAAAGCTATCTGCTGCAAGACGAGCTTGCTCTCTTGCGCCTGCTGTCGGAGCTGAGCCCCTCAAGTCAGCAGCAGCAACTTCATCTCCCCACTCTGAAGAGCCTTGTTCGGATCCTTCCACAGGCGTACCTTGCAAGGGATGCTTTACAAGGACATGCGAAGACACAGCCTGAGACTGGGGAGAGAAGTAGAGAAACGAAGCAAGAGACCGAGAGCGACACTATGCTACGCAAGAACTATGTATTATATCATACAAAACTATACTATATCATACCCTGATCTACTCAACCATATTATAGTACCGTTCTGTGCACCATTACATAACGTAACAATTCCTAGTATATTCTATCACATTACATGAAAACATTCCAACATAGTGTAAGTTGATGTTATCTAAAATTACCAAGAGCATCAAATTCTCAATGCCGGAATAGAACAAACAAAACACATCCTATAACAGAATAGACTACAATAGAATAGAATGACGCAATGCAACATAATGTAGTCGAAAAGAGGATCATATAACAGACGCACGAGGAGTACCATGATATCAAAACACCCATAAATGGTGGACATGAGTTCATTCAAACGCAAGTCTATGCACACATGCACCTCGGACGAACGACGGCATGTTCGTGAACGTGACTGCCTGCCTACTTTGAGCTTATGTCTCAATGTAACTGTTGCGTTCCTCGCATGCTTTTGCATGTGCTTGGATGTCATTATGCAGACTGACATAGAAAGACGAACGGGCAACCCGGAAACAGCAACTAAATTGATCTGTTTCTCTGGTGGGCTGGCTCTTCTCGTACGACTGCCGAAAGTTGCAGGGGGCAATAGAATTCTGCTGCAATAAGCGGCTTGTCGGATCTGCTAAACAGGTGCCGCCGTGGTGCCTTCGTATTCTGTGCAGGCATCGGGGACTGCGGATTCGCGTCCGGCACGCCGAACACGCGGGCGAGCCAGTAGCGCGGTCCTGGCAAGATCTGGCAAGGCTGTCCAGCATGCACAAGCCACCATCTGGCCGTGGCTCGACGCGCGGCAGCCGGGTCGCAACATTTTGCCTGGGGCCTTCTCAAAGATATCCGTCATTTATACAAAAGTCGGACGCAAGGACACGCGAGATGGGATTTTCCAAGCCCGTGTCCTAGCGTTGACAATGCAGTGACCTCTTGACGGGAGATCTCGAAGACTTCTCGGTCACCTTCGCAGCTTCGAGACTGTGCCCTAGCTCTGCCACTGGCAAAGCTCCGGGCGTGATGTGGTCGATTTCACCTCCACGAAACACACGGTCGGATCTCCTTTGCTGGGCAGCACACTGTCATGTGCGGTGTGCCTGTGAGTGAGGACAAATCGGACTGGCTCAACCCTAACCGCCCTGACCCGTCGTCCTTTTCCATGCAGGGCCGCATCCAGAAGTTCAGCCGCCAGTTCGCCCTGGACCGATCCTCCATCGCTGCGGAGTGTGGGCAGGCTGCCCCCCTGACCTGCGGTTCGAAACAGTCTGCTGCTCGTGGCGAAAGGTAGCTGCAAACATGCTTCCATGCTCTTCCATGCTGCTTAGGATCAGGTCGAAGGGGAGCCCGAGCTCGCCATTCTCATTGACCCAGCAAACCTCGCCGTAACGACCGGAGAGAGAGGGCAAAGCCGTGCAAGAAGGACTCCTGGCCTCGAAGCCCTGCTGCTCCAACGAGCGTGCCGCCAATTGCTCCCCGACCTTCCCCACCCACTCCAGCCCCTGCGAGCTGCCTGAGCCGGCAGCAATGAAACTCAAACTCAAGCCAGGGCCAGGGCTCCTCAGAACCTGCATGCAAGCTGCCGGCACCAGAGCCGGACGAAGGCGTCGGAGCTTTGGCAAGCACCTCTTGCAGGTCTTCTGGCCGAACGTCGGCGTCTCCAAAAGTGCCGGTCTCGAGAGGCGGCGCGTCCAAGTCCAGAGCGATTCTGAAGGGACACATGCAGCAATTCATGCTCGAAAAATCTAGAGCCAATCCTTTCAGGCGACGTGCTGTGAGACTTCCAGACAAATTAAATGCTTTCGCATCGATCGACATGCCTCTTCAGCGAATAGCCTCGCGGATAGCTCAGCTCTCGTTCTCTCCTGCTGGGGCGGTCCTGTCTTCCATGTGTGAGAGTTTGGCAGATGCATGTCGACGCAGCTTATCAGCATAGCTTGTAGGGAGGCAGGGTGTTGAGAATGGAAAGCCCGCAACTGAAACTGCCTCGCCGTCTCGAAGTCTGTCAACTTGCTTGTCTGGCCCCTCCTCCGACAGCGTTGCGAGAGCTCTGAGCCAAGTGACCTGTGCTGGCCTCGGCCGAGACGTCCCGTTTGCGCCCATCGTTGGCATCCTGCAGCACTTCAGCAGATCCCTCAAGCACCGAACACGGAACTTCATGAAATTCCTGGGGCCGATCCCGTTGCTCTGAGCGGCCTGGCCCGAGCAGCTTTCAAAACACAGCCTTTTTGCGTTGCGTCTTTGTTGCGAGCCTTCGCCAGCCGCTGCATCGAAAGGGATGTTGCTGTTGCTGTTGCTGCCGCTGCTCTGCAGGTCATAAGGTAACATCGGAGGCAACAGCTCGTCCAAGGTCGGGGGCAACTCGCCCAATTCCTGCAACGTTTGCATTTGCGTTCTGGTGGATGGAGGGGGGATTTCAGCAGCATTAGGCGCTTCTTGCCACCCAAGAGAGTGACACAGACTCCTGATTTCTTCGCGCAGACTTACTGGGAACTTCCTGTGATGACGAGGAGGCACCCTGCCTCATGTTGCATGCGAGACGCTGGCGATTCACGCGTCATGGGGGTTAGTAAGCCGCTTGCGTCTTCTTCGCACGTCTCTTGCGCCTGAAATGGAGCCTGAGCTTTTCTGGATGATGCAGGCTTGGTCAACGTGCAAGCAATCAAGTGCCCCCAACTGAAACTTGTTTGCAGGACAGATGCGCTTCGCACGCGTTCTCCAGCAAGTCAGCCGTGGACAAGTCCATCTCAACTCCGCTTCCTTCCTGATCTGCTTCATCAGATGCGTATGCCAGTGCCTCCCACCTGGGTGGCCAATTCAAGGAAAAGCTGTGCTCTGACACATGCAGGGAGATGCCCCACGAACGCGCAAGTGCTTGAAGACTCCCACACATCGGCATTCTCCACGTCCTTGAACTCCTCCAAGAGCCTGGCATAGCCATGATGCCAGACTGGTGCACTTTTACAGACATCCAGCTAAGCCGCTTCTTAAGCAAAAGTCCCGATGCAGTGTCCTGGCAGCGCATTATCACCTTTACGCGGCAAGTTGGATACACTTTTTTAAAGCATCGCAACCGCGAGTCCTCGCGCTTGCTAAGGCCTTCTGCGTCCATGCTCTCCGACACAGGCTTTGAGAAGCTTTCAGAGGGTTCGTCTTGACCTAGGCTTATCGACTTAGCGGCTCGTCAAACTGAGAAGACACTTGCCATTCCTGACACGATGCCTTGTTCCGTGGCCTCAGCTGCGGCTCCGATAGCGATCGCCAGCAAGTTGGCGATGCCAAACTCAAGCTCGGACAGGCCACGCCTGCCTTGGAGCAAAGAGCTAGCTCCCTCCCATCTGCAGTTCCTTGATCAACAATAGAAGGCTCCAACTGGCCTGTGTTGCCATGGTCCTCGTGCAGATCTCCACGTGCGCCCTGTGCGGCGACCAGAACCAAAGCCTTTTCGTACGGCAACGATAGTTTTAGGCCCTTCTTGCGCTGTCTAAGACTGAGACTTTGGTTCCCGAGTCCATGGCTCGGGAAAGGCCTTGCGATCCTTGCTGAAGCGCTTCCACAACACCTCCCTGAAAGGTGAAAACGATCTGCTTCTCCTTCCAGTCGAGTCTCTCACGGCCTCTCGCGACCTATCTTCCCTACTGACGTCCTCATCTTCACCGCCTGCAGGAGCTTCGCCGGTGAATGCAAGCGGTGCACTCCCGAGCTGCTTGGTCCTCCGCGCTGCATGTCACATTCCGGATACCCAAGACGGGCGTGATTGTGAAGTGCCTCATGCTCACTGTACCGACAACTTCCTCAACATATCCGCCATGACTCGGGAGATCGAGTCAGCACCATCATCACCGTCATAGGCATCACCATCACGACAACTTCGGCCGCTCAAGTGTGTCGGCAAAAGACTCCCCTCAGGTTGTGGGGCATGCAAACGGCGCCTACTGGCAGTGATCACCGCCTAACCTGAACCAACGCGCACTCTGCGGACGCGACAGCCTGCGGCACGTAGGCTTGGCCAATTGGGAACTAAAAGCGTCAAGACGAGCCTATGGCATGGACCAGCTTCCACCTGAAATGAAGGCCTCTTTGATTGCACCATCCGTGAAGGCGAAACATGATCGTGCCAAGCCCTCCAAACTTCTGCGAGTTTCGCAAACACCATTCCTCCCATAATGTGCTTCCATGAAACCTGCTTCTGCCGGAGTGAGATTCAGGAGCGATTGGCATTTGACAAAGGCAGCAATGCCAAGAGCTGCTGGTCTGGGAGTGTGGGCATAAATGCGGATTCCTACACGGTATGTGCGAATCAAGGCCAGCCCTAGGAAATCAATCAAACATGCGTTGCAAAAAAACGTTCGTGCACGAGCACATCCCCCCGTGGAGGCTGAATTGTTGCGAGGGCTCCATCTCCCGTAGGCCGCAGAATCGGTACCCGACGTTGGAGATCCACACCGCCACTGCCAAGGCCGTCAACCACTGAGCACACCCATCCCAAGAGCTGAATCTCTTTCCTACACTTCCTGAAACAAGAGGATGAACTCCATCTATCATCTCTGTTGGACCGGACATCATGCGGCGCAGTGTGTTGAAATAGTAACATCTGTTGTCCCTCGGCATCTCTTGCAGTCTGGCAGCGGTGGGATTTGGCCAGCGACCTGTTCGTAAATGATTCTGAATTCTGCTTGGAGTTTGTGGCCGACATGGCTAAACCAGCGGCCACGTGTTCTGATGGCCAGTAGAGAATGAACTCAGTGCGCATGGCGTGTTGTGAAGCGTGAAGAAAGCCCTGATGCGGAGGGATAGCTGCGCTTCGCGGAGACTTGCGCTGGTCACTGTGGGATCCTCGGCGCCTGTGCCCCCAGATAAACTTGCTTGTCAACTAGCAAGTCAGAAAGGACTCCGATATGCCCGGTGTCAGGCTAGCTCCTGGCGATCGGAATTGCTGCACCCTTTTGCGGCTTGAACTCTGCAAACCTTGGCATGGCGTGCGCTGCAGTGACTGCAGTGCTGACCATACATACCGTCCAATTAAATGCCGCCCTGCAGCTGTGTTGACAGTTCGGCTGCACCAGGCATCTTCCTCTCCCGCGTCTGGGTCTCGCGAGTGTCGAGCGCAATCGCCTGGCCAAGTACTTGCACCGAGAAGCTCCAGGGCACAGAGAGCCACGAGCAATCCTGCTATCAGCTTTCAAGATGAGCATCGCAGCCTGGTACACTGACATCTCACTTGCCGGCTCCACTCGCAACCTGTTTCAAAAGACTCAGCAGACCTCTAGTTGAGGGTGCTTCGAGCGTCATGAGTTCATTGCTGTCTCCCTCTACAGACGTATTGTGCAGCGCAAGGCCGGCTGTGATTTTCGTGGCTGGAGCACCTTCCAACCAGGTCTCGAATGCTGTCGAAGATTCCAATGGCGTCTGCGACGTTCTCCTGCGAAGAGACTTGCCGCGCAAATGAGGCTTACCCTCGTGTTAGGGGCCCTGCCTTTCCCTTTATGGCCGTTTCAGCGGTACGCATAGCTGCTGAGAGGATCTGACTTGTCAGTGTTCTTCGCCTTTCTTGCAGCACTTCCTGCACACCCAAGTCTGTCTGCAACAGCTGGACAATGCGTGCGATGCCAACAGCATCCGAAGCGGCCTCACAGGGAATGATCACTGCACACTTTCTCAGCGTCTCTTCCTTCTCTTCTGAGGGGCCTCAGCAGAACAGGTCAGCCGTCCGGCGCCTCGCTGAACGGCCACAGCCAGAGCCAGGGTACGGATTCCACATCGCTGCAGCAGTGTGATGATGCGTCTTGTGCTCTGTTCCCCCCAAGATCTTGAGGGGACAACCGCCACATACTGAAGCGTCTCGTCCGACCATCCTTTCCAAACACAATGAATCTTGGCACTGCCGGGCAGCGGCTGTGCAGAGGTGTCTGCCACTTGGAACAATGCTGGTGAGAACACAGTTCTTGAAGATATGCGACGACATGACAGGCACAAAATACCAGGTGCGACAACGATGCCTGAGAATTCCGCCGTCTTCCTCTCCGTAGCAACGTACACAAAGTGCTTCATCGGCTGCCAGGACCTGATCTGAAGCATCCTCTTAGTTCCTAGTTGCAGTGTTGAGCTGGTAATCCTGCCCTTCCATGCTGGATCGCAGGGCTCGACACCCTCGTGAGATCAATGCTCACCACGGTGCCCATCTGCAGCCCTGAGAAAGCGGAGGTCCGATGCCTCTTGCCGAAATTTAGCCTCGACAGACACAATGTCCGAAACATCCGCGAAAGCGAAAGAAGCTAAGCCGCCCCAACCAACCAGCTCTGAGGCATGGGCCAGAATATTGGACGTGCTAGTCCCAGATGGTTCTGGCGACTTGACCTGCGGACAGATAAAACTACGCTGCGCCGCCCGACGCTTTTTTTTGCAAAAGGAGGTCCTGCTCCTCCTGATCTTCTTCCTGCCGGTCGCGGGCTTCCTGCATCTCAAACTCCACCAGCCGGTGAACCCTGCCCAAAATCCTCGGCGGGAAAGCGACGCACTGCGCTAGTCAATCCTTGAGGGCCGCCAGTGCCAGCGTGCAACATGCATCTGTGGGAATGCGAGCCTCTAGAACCGCTCCGCCTGATGGGGCTGAAGCCGAGCATCTGCCTCATAAGCCCGGGGATGCTTTCCAAGCTAATCTTGGGCTCCGCTGTCTTGGACGTGATCAAAGAAATCCTCGGCATTTGGAAACTTTCGCGAATCCCTGCTAGTCGAGCCAGAAAGGCACCGAAATGCACGGAACGGAACATGTAGTCTCGACCGGAAGAAATCGGGAGGGCGCGCAAGCGCTGCGATAAGCCCAAAACCACCAAATGTAGACAAGCATCTGTTGATCCACAGCTTCCAAGACCGCGAGATAGTCTTCAACGCGTAACTTGTCCTGCAACTAAAGCAGTTTGGTTGACAGCTGGGTCTCCGTACAGCTGTATCTACCCTCTCGTGCCCGCAAATGCTCGTGTCCTGGACACCGCGAGTTCCCAGAAAGTCAAGGAACCAATTCGTTGGAATGCTGCTGCCTCATCAGGTGACCATGACAGAAGTGTTCGACACCGTTCAACCACCAGGTCAGAGGAAACGAATTGGTTCAAGGAGCTCGGCCAGCTGGCCGGAAAAAGGGTCTGTTTACCAAAATAATAGTTCGCCACCACGCGCTTGTCCAAGCGCCTCGAGACTGCGGTGGGACAGGTTTGTAAACACCCTATCGTGTGGGAGCCTAATCACTCCGGATCTTTCCGATCCTTTGCCTTATTTTGGCTCACAATGTAGCCAATCAGAAAGTGAGTTGGGGACTGCAACGTAAGCCTAGTCGTCGTAATGTTTTCTTTTCGTCCAAGCAGCTCACGCATCAGGTCGATTGCCTCATCTTCTGCGTTTTTGCTGAAACCTTGGATGCTAACTGGAGACAACACGTCCTGTATATCTGGCCTTGCTGTTAGATGTTTGACGACGCCGGTGCGAGAGCTGCAGTGCTGCCATACTTCCAGCGCCTCATCCTCAAAAACAGACTTGGGCGCAGTGCAAGCAAAGAAGCCATCCAGGCATTCCGCTGGGTCCTGAAGCACCAACCTCGTGCAGGTGCCCTACCGATACTCGGCTTAGCTTCCATCACTCAGCGCTGCCATGGGGCTGATTCACTCTGTAGAAATCTCCCCGGTGTGACCTGTGAGCTCTTCGGTCGTACCAACTCTGGAAGCCTCCATGGGGCCTTGGCTTCTCGGCATCTGAGCTGTCCCGGCCCAGCCCATCTCTCCCGGCTCATGCGCTGCATAGCGGCTTTGGATGCTTGGGAATGAACACCCATGATTCCTCATTGAGGAAGCCCTCCTTGGCTTGCTCCATTCCCGTCCATCCCGTATAGTAACTACAGTCTACAGTAGTGGGCGCCTGGCGAGATCGGCGTCCTGATTAAGGAAAGCCGACACAGAAAGTGCCGGACGTTTTGTGGGCTTGTCCTGCGACATACGCAGCTTTGAAGAGAGGTACAGTACACGGCCGCATCTTCTGACCCTCCACCAGGCTAGCCTGGATCTTGGCATAGATAGTCATCATTTCGGAAGTTCTGAGGCTATCTCCCTGTCGGCAGTGTCATTTGTGGGTGAGGTACAGCGTCTATGAGGACCAGGGTGCGGAAGCCTTGCGGGCACGCAAGCTGCGCAAGATGCTGATGATGGTCTCGGCGGATGGGCTCTGCTCAATGCCCAAGCTCGACCATGCCTGCCCAACTGTTGGTTTTCGCGACCGTGGCAAGGAAATCACGTGTTAGTGGGTGGTCCATTGACAGCCTCCGCCAGTGTAGAGACGCAAGGCAAAAAAGCAAAGCGCTTCTCGGCTTGATTCGGCGAATCGCACAGCCAGGCCATGTGTAGTGGCACCGAAGCTCCGTCATGCGTTGGCAACCTTACGACGATCAAGAAACCTCCAAACAACCCAAGTTGCTGATGCGTTCAAGTCACCAAGGAGAGGTGCAGAGCATGCGCCCCAGAGAAGATGGCCGCCTCTCTCCCTCCACTTCCTGGGATCCTGGCTTCAGGTCAGAAGCTCCGACGCGCTGCTTTGGGGGGCCACTACCGAGCCTGGAATCCACAGAAAGTCTTCGTAGAATTCCCCATGCGGTGCGAGGAGCATCACGACTTCCTCTGCGAGCTTCACATCCTTGCCGGCAATCTGGAGAAGCCTTGCCATACAGCCATGATCTCTTATACTTGCAGCACATGAACCCCTTGCGCCTGAATCCTCGCAGCGAGACTATCTACCGTCTACAGCCAGAAACGCAGCATCCCTCAACAGACCTTCATTAAACAGACTCAGATCCGGAGCCGCCCCAGCAGAGACGCCTCTCCAGTTCTGCGCTCGCAACATCTTGCTCGATCTCCATGCGGAAGGCCGGGGCGGCTCCGAGAAAAGTCCAAAAGTCCTCCCACTTCTGTCGTTCTTCCTTGCTTGCCGGTCATAATCTGGGAGACAGTCCGCAACCAGTAACGGTCTTCGACCCTAGAAGGCTGAAGGCTTCGTCGTGGGGAAATTACCTTATGCCTTCTGCAAAAAACCAGCGAACCTTTGGTGCGCTTGTGTACCAAGCTTCACTGTTTGCCGCCTCCTCCTTCTCAAAGTACTGCTCCGACGGGGTTAGCCACTCCATCTCACTGGCCTGGGTCAGCTCACCCCTGAGCTGCGACCGAACTACCAGCATGTCGCAGCAGCTCTTCCCTCCAAGAATCTCCGTCGGCCAATCGCAACGCCGACGCCAAGGACTTAGAAAGGGATGTCAAGTGAAGTCCTTGTCCGGACTGCCCCCCAACCTCCAGGGAGCAGGCAGTCTCATGTAGACGCGATGGTAGAGCCAGGAGCCTTCACCGTCTGTGACTCACAGGTGTGCGACGACGCCACAGCCTTGGTCATGCAGGCTACCAACACAATTAGTCTGTGCCGGCTGGGGGACACATGTTCAAAGGCATCCGGAAACCCATACAGCTTCAGACATAAACATGTCTATCAAAACTCAGCAATGCAGGTGCTTGGATGCTAGCATTGTACATGAGGGACGGGAATATGCCTGTGCGGGAAAGTGGAAACAACCTTCCAGGAAGCGCAAACTCTCTGTAGCCCAGCCACCCACCATCCGGTCTCCCTGACACGACCCGCCATCGTCTCCTCACGGGAGGCACCGGCGACATGGACTCTTCTGCTCCCAGCTCTGGCAGATATTATTGCATATCGAAGAAAACAGCTTAGCTAGTTGCATCCTGAATACAACCTAATCCGACACCCCGTTCTAGCTCGCACGGAACCAAGGTCAAGTGCACATGCATCGGTCCTTCAATCCGTCATCTTCGCAGATGGCGACGAGTTGCTTGAATCTCCTTCTCAAAGCGATGTTCCTAACCAATGCCCGTGAACACTAGTGGGGCAGCGGGGTGGCCCTTGAGGACAAAACGCTGTTGAGGTTCCGTGTAACCTCAAGCAGTTGCTCCGCATCTGGTGCTTCACCTGCTGGCTGTCACCGAGAAATGCCGGTATGCGTCCGAGAACAGGAAAAGCTTCAGAGTGACTCGCTTTCGATGTGCGAAAATGCCATGCCTTGTGCCAGGACTGGTAGCAGCACGTCCTGAAAAAAGGCCAAGCCATCGACGCGCTCGACACCGAGTTTGAGCAAGAGCTGCTTGACCTGCGAGTTGGACAGGTACGGTTCCGGGTCACCAGTTGGTCATCAGCTGCACGTGGGCCTTTGGCTGGGCGGTGTGACCCAAGCGAGGATCAAGCCTCTGCCCTTCTCCCAAGACTGCTTCCAGACCAGCCAAATCATCTGGGATGTCGTAAACCTTGCGGCCACTGGCCTGCGAGACATGACTGCCAGATGAAAGAACCAACACAAGGAGAGACAGAGATAGCATGATTTCAAGCTGCTTCCGAGAAGCCGTCGGGCCTCTTGCTCTGCCAAGGCTACGAGACCGGCTTCCGTCGGCACGACGGCCAAGTGCCGCAGCTCTTCGAGGAACTCAGGCTTCGCCTGGAGCGTGCGACTACACGGACTACGGACAGAGCCGATGGCCTTGGCCAAAGAAACAACCACAGCTTGCCTCGAGAATCAAAAGCAGAAGGTGCAAAGTCTCAATGTCCTAAGCTTCTGTCGGAGGACCCCACTGCCAGTCGAAGCTGAAGGACATGTCAGCTCAAGGCCCTCGCAGATGTCTGTAAAGCGCTGGGCATGTCCGCATCGTCTCGTTCAGCTGCTCGGCTTGCAAACGCCTGCGAAACGGGCGATGCTCTCAACCTGACTGGAATCAAAAATGCCGAGTCCAGGGCCTTCAAGCAGTCCAGGGCGACGTCTGCGTCCAAGACCTGAGAAATTTGTCCCTGTCTCTGCTGTCTCCGCTGCACAGCACTGACAACAACAAACCTCACAAGCACAACAAGCACAAGCTGACTGTCGTATCAATGAAGGTGCGCAGTGGCAGCGGTTTCTTTCTGCAGGCAAGCTTCTGGCACCCCAAGAGCCTCTGCCACGCGAGCTGGAAGCTTCCCAACTTCCAGATAGTGCCCTGCCTTCAATGCTTCAGGCTGCCACAGATCACGGCACACGACCTCCTGCTACGCTGTGTCTTGTGACTCGACCGTAAACGCAGTGGAGCGACCTCCACAAGCAAAGGCTCCAGCGTCGGCAGGTGCTCAGACAGAGATGCCTCGAACTAAGCCAATCTCCGGTGAGAGGGGGATGCAATTTTGGAGCAGCAAAGGTGCTGGGACGCCCTCTGGAAGCCGTTCACGTACGGCATGTTTGGGCGTAGAAAAGCCAAGGCGGAAGCGACGTTCATCCTGCAGAATGGCTGAAGTAAGTGATGGCAGCACTGGTGGCCACGAAGCACTATTCGACGTCGTTTGCCCTGTCCGACATGATCATAAATCATGACTGTTTTGACTTCCTCCTGCACGGCTTCTTCAGCATCTTCTCCGCCGGGAGGCAGGTTCGCGCCGTCTGGACCTGACACAGGTAAGCATGGTGTGCCAAAGGCGTAGCATGCAAAGACCACCGGAATGTAAGTGCCTGGTGGGCCACCGCCAGGCACTCGCACCAACATGATTGGCACATTTTGCAGAGCGCGAAGGATGCCTGCATCGGTGCCCTGAAAAAAATTGACGGCATCGCCTGGTCGGGCACAGCTGCAGATGGCTGCAGGAAGGGAGGCAGACGACACACCACTGGGGCGACCTGTCCGGGGCACAGCGGCGTAGAGTGGCAGGAGAGCATCCGCCGATGCATCCAGCCCTGCTCTCAACTGCGAAAGCGGCAAGCCATCGTCACCTCCACTCCAATCACTCCAAGCTCTTACAGCGGGAGTCCGCAGCCACAGCCCACGCCCCTTGCCTGCATCTTCGCCGCAGCTTCGCAGAACGATATTGTGTTCCAGTGCTGCAGCTGCGGCTCGGGTTCTGAACTCTTCCGCTGCTTCGACAAATGCTGCTGGCACTTGTTCTCGAATCTGCCTGGGTGGCTGTCCACGAGACACAGCACGGCAAGCCGTCTTCTTTGCAAGCCCAGGGTCTGATTAAAGACATTGTCCGTTATCGCCTCCCTGGACGATGGCACTTTCCAATCTGCCTTCGCATGCGCGCCAGCGGGTCAACACAACAAAGCGGGGGTTGATGCTTGCTGCCACAAGCCCCAAATCCGAATCGGACCTGGACGACGAAGCGCAATCGGTAGGACTGCAGCGGAAGCCAGGCATAGACTTTTTCCGTGTTGCCTGTGCGCAAGAAGCATGCCGCTTTTTCCGAGCAGGCCACTCCGCGTCACGCGGTCGGATTTAAATACCCCGGCTTTGCGCCTGCATTCGCATCGAGACGGAAAGCCAACTTCCTGACGCCCATGTCCATTTCAAACCGGAGCTATACGAAAGTCCGAGGACCGACTTGCCGCACACAGGCCAGTGCATCCGCGGTGCAACTCCGTCACCGACGAGTCGCTCTCACCATCTCCTTGAACCTCCACACCTCTTGTTTGTATCAACCATCGCTGCTCCTCCGACTTGGGTGGTTCCTTCCGCGGCTCTTCACACATGCCTCCGCACGGCCTATGCCCTATGCTCTCGCCAACAGCAAAGTGCATCAGCCTCCAGGGACCAGGTGTTAACCTCATCAACGTTCAGCTTCATCTCCTGAACAGAAAGGACACGGCGTTTCCGAACGCCCTCCCAAAGAGCCAAAGGCGCCTCTGCATTGGTCTGGCCCTCGGAAGGCAGGCGCATTTTTGAGATGACCCGCTGCAGGCCACTGTCTCCGTCAAAGGCCTGCAGACAATGCTCTTCGTTTACATCGTTTGCAGCTACAAGTAAGAAGCTTCGGTCTCCGATCTGCAATAAGAGAAGCGAACTATATCATGTCGCCTGTGTGTTTGATGCGGGAGTGTGGCCTGGTGCAGCAGCAGCAGCAGCAGCAGCAGCAACTGAAAGCTTCCACCAAATCTTACGAAGGCCAAGGGCCTCAAGCGTCTCACGACGCTTTGGACATTTTGCTGGTCATCCACCGGCAACTTATCATCACCATGATCATCATCACCACCATGCACCATCCCCCCTATGATCCTAATGATCCTAATGATGATGCACGATGATAATTCTGTTCTGTTGCCAGTGCAGGCCGACTCTTCTCGGAATCACCGCCTCGACTACTGCTGCTACTTCCACGAGTGCTTGATGCACCGACCCCGTTGCACAGTTGCGGCGTTTCGGCGCTCTTCAGGGACTACCCGAGCTCCCAAGGCAGGTGCGCTCGCAAGGATGCTCCTGGTCTCTGAATTTTGGAAGCCCGAGGCCTCCACTCGTGCCACCTTGCGCAAAAACAACAGCAGTGTGGGCTGCACGTCTTTGAGCGCACGCTTGCCCACGTCTGGAGCACGCAGCCCCCGCTTCGTCAACGGCCCTGCCCAGGACGAGAGACGGGACCAAGCTGACTACGCATTCATGCCCAGCCTTGGATGCTGCTCAGGGGCAGGACGAGCCGTGTCCCACGAGGTGGCTTTGAGGCCGGCTTCAAGGGAAACGGCAACAGTGAACCCAATCCTTGCCTCAGCCATCATGGACACTCGCTCCATCATCTTCGACGGCTAGCTGCCCTCCGAGAGGCATTGCTTCAGCGTCGAAGTGGAAGTGGAAGCCACGAGAGTGCAAAACAGGGGTGGCGGTAACGAGGAACACCTCACATGGGTTCCGGACGCAGGAAGCGTTTCCAATTCCATTACATGTCATGTCAGTGGGATAGGCGGATCTGATGCATCAGAGAAGCAGACTTGAAGCCGATTCCCTTGGCTCCGATGAAGTTCTTGTCAATAGCCTGCTTTGTAGACTTGTCTATGTCACAGATGGCGATGACATTCTTCTCCTGCGAAACTTGGCTGCATGTCGTATATCCACAGCACAGCCACACTCTTCGCATCGCGGCGCTAAATGGCACTTCCTGTCCTGAAAGCCTGTCTCGTTGTGCTCCACAACAAGAAAAGCTTCCACAGTATCCCCCGCACGGAAGCTGCTCAGCTCTTTGAACTTGTCCTTCCTGTCCATCACCAGGGAGGTGGCCCCGAAGACCGGGAGTAATTCATAAACTCAGCCCTGCCTGGGCTCGTAAGTCAGGCGCAAAGTCGGCGTCTCGCCTGTTCGCACATCTGACAAGCCCCTGCTGTGCCTTGTTCTGCATACGAACACAGTTTTAAATGATTGCAGTATCAGAGGCACCCTCCGGATACGTGCAGTCATCGCAGTTCTGAAGAAGTTCCAGCAGAAAGTGAGCCTGCCGGTGTCTGTCAGCAGCTTGTAACGGCATAGATGGGGGCATTTTAAGTTACGGTTATCGGACTCCAGCGGCCCATCGACACAATGCCAGTCGCTTGAGTACAAAACAATCCCGCCTCACCGCTGTACAAGTCTTCAGAAAGTCGCTTTACAGCTCCCTGCACTGTCTGCTGCAAAGACCGGACACCAGCATCTTCAGGCTCTTGGATCCACTCGCGCTTCTCCAAGTCAACGAAGTCGTAGTCAACCTTCCTGTTAGCAGACAGCTTGAAGCAGCCGCTTCGCACATTCCTCCAGTAATGCCTTGTGTTGAGAAACTCAAAAGTGGCGTTGCGAACCAAGCGGCTTCATGGCAGCTATCCGCCTGCAAACTTCCTGCACCATTTGCAGGGCTACTACACATGGCCATACGTCACAATCCAAGCAAGTGAGTCAGTCCTCGTTCTCTGCGTCCTCCTCTTCTGCTGCCAGTTGCACGGCCGACTCTTTGAAGGTGGAAGGCTGCTTCGTGGCGGGATAGCTCTGCATCTCGGCATCCTGAGGCAGACCCCCCCCTCCGGAGGCAACCCGCGGGTGCAGTTGTGCGGGCCTTCGCCTCCACCATTGCGTCAGCGGCGGTCGCTGCTGCTGCTACCGCTGCTGCGCGGCTGCCTGCAGCCTGGTCATTTTCTGGCCGCGACAGGTCGGCCCACTCCGTGATGCCAAAGTGAAGGCCCAGCCGCTTCAGCGCCGAGCGAAAGCTCGGGACGCCCTCGTAGACACCGAAAACCAAGTTGAGTAAGGCCACAGGGGGGCGCTCCAAGCGCATGTAGCCAGAGGCGATGATCTCCACAACTTCCTTCGAAGCGATACCGCGCGGCAGGGCTGCGATGGCTGTGAGCAGGAAGCGCTCCGGCTGCGTCTCAACAAAGGCCCTGTAGCCTTTTGAGATCTGCTCTTTGAGCAGCGACAGGGGCGCAGCCGTGCCCTCCCGAAGCAGGCGGGCCAACACGATGGCAGAGACGCTGCGACCGTCCACGGCTCCCAAAGCTTCTGCGAGTCGCTCCGTCGAGGAGTCTTCGGCTGAGGGGAGGCGCACGAAAACGGAGTGGCGGACCTCCAAAATGCAGGCAACCGCTCCTCTCTTCCTGGCTCGCGATTGAAATTCAGGCGAACGCAGGAAACTGCTGACGTCCATGGCCAGTGCTCCGAAATTTGTCTCCCACTCTGGCAGCGATTCCACCACATCGAAAAGCACGGGACATGACAGTACTGCCTCCGTCGCGCTTTCCAACAGCCTGTCCCTCTCTTCGCTCGTCGCTGCTTGCTGTGCTGCGGGGAGAGACACATGCGAGCTGGAGGCTTGAAGCACCACATCCGTCGAATCTCCCCCAGGCTTGGCCTCAATCTCGACATCGCCGACGTTGTTGACGATGGCCTGAAGCTCGGAATTGGTCCTGAGTGCCATCGGTTCTACATCTTGGCCAGGCCACTCCCATTTCCAAGAGACCTGAACACCTCACGCAGCCGAGATGCACAACGCCAGCATAGTGCTGCTGCAGAACATGCAGCACCAGCGTTGGATCCTTGACAGGGTCTCTCGTGCCTCAAGCCGATTCCAAGAAGGCTTAAACTTCGAAGGCAAGGGGCATCTGCAGCCTTCTGGTTGCCACCATCTGCACGAATGCGACGGCACATGTCCTCAGCAGCAACTTGTCTGAGCATGCCAGGGTGCCAAGCCTAGAAGCAGCCTGAAGGCTCAGCATGGCTCATGGCTCAACAAACATGACGATTTCCCCTTCAGCACCTGCTCGGAGCTTCCGGCCCAGAATCATGCGCAGCTTTCTCGACATCCAGCTGTTCACGGCTCACCAAGCCAGCAGAATTGGCAATCTGGTCGCTGTTTTGCCTCAGTTCCAGCTTCCACATGCATTAAAACCAAGCTGAGTTCGTCTGCTCCGAGGCATGCGTCGGCCCACGCGAAATGAAACACAACGCCTAAATCTTTCCTCAGATCTTAGCCTTCTGCAGGCCAGATGCGCCAACCAGCTCCCGAAAGTGCCAAGCTTCATCTCGTTCCAATCCTTCTTCTGCTCTTCCTTGCACATGCGATCTTCGAAGCGTCCCACCCTCAGCTTCGACTGAGCTACCTCCGCCACAAAACCTGTTCTTCTCAGGCATGCACCATGGCTGAGAGCTCGGTGCAACAAGCGGCACTTCCAATAGCCCCCCCAGCTCCAGATTTTGCTGCTCTCGCAGGATCTCCCTCAAGATGTGCAGGAGACGCTTGCTGAGCTTCACCGGCATGTCCGCAGCCTCACCTCGCTCGTCTGCCTGCAGAGGCAGCGATCGATTACAGCACCTAATTCGAGCAACACTGTGGCGGTGCCTGCAACTTGTCTACTTCTCAGATTGCATCTGCATGTTGCAGCAAGAGCAAAGGGGCCTCGTGCTTGCTGTTGGGTGCTTCAGCAGGGCCTCCCAAGAGATCAACTTCCCCGGCTTCTTCCTGGTTACCTGCAAAATGGTTTGCTCTACTGGCACGTTGCACGGACAAACATGCGCGGCAGGTCCTGGGGCTTCTTCTGCCTTTGCCAGCTGAGCAGCTCGGCGAACAGCCAGCGTACATAATTTGTAACTCTATCCGCCAGCTCGGCATTCCCACGCGGCCAGTCCGGTCTCTTGGATGTTATGCCTGCAGGCGAGCTTGTGCCTTGAAAAAGCTCACGCTCCGGCTTCGCCACCTACTGTGAGCTGCTGAAACCAACTACGTATGCACCGAGCGGCTGCTCACCAATTCCTGCTGCTTCTCCTTGCTGCTCAGCTTCGCAAGCCTTCGTGTGCCAAGCAAAGCTCGGGGACTTGGCACGCACAGGCACAAGATCAGTGCAGCTGTGATGCTCGATCAACAACTCCTCGTGTTCCGAAGGCAAACTCAGAGCAATCCATTCTGCAAGCGCTTTCGGAATGGTCCGTTGACCACCTCGTGGTGCCCAGCCAGTGAGCGACACACGGAAGAGAGTGGGATGAGATTCATGGGCAGACAGGGGATGACAAACAAACACAAACCATAGCAGAGCTGGGGCGCACTGCCACATAATGACCTTTGCAACTCCAACTCCTGACCACTGCATAACTCCCGAAGCTGAAACCATACGGAGGCTGTATGCACTTCGGCATTTTGGAGGCTCGCGGGCCCTGTGAGGAGGGGGCGGCGAATCTGAGTGTCTCAAGTGCATCTGTTTCAGTATGTTCATCTAACTTATCATAAGTACTAAATCGCTTAAAGATTGTCCAATAGCTGTTTTCTTGCACCCAAAAGGGCGGCCTGGTGAGCCGCAGCCGTCGGTCAGCAAGAGTTCTGCACACATGCCGTCTTACTGCTACTGCACATCCGGATGTTCTTTCACACCCTTCCTCGGCTCGCTGGGCGCTTTTGCAAAAGCCTTGCCCTTGCGAGCATGTCGTCCGGCTTGGATCGCTAGTTTGCGGTCCCTCGCCTCAGACGAGGTTGCAACTGCCACTCTCCGTCGCAGAATGCCCGTAGGAGAAGGTCCCTTTCGCACCCCAACTTCGTCAAGACGTCCGCCAGCATCTGAGAAGTATCCATCCAGTACGCAAACGAAGGCGAGTCATCATTAAAACTCATAATCGTTTTCGCCGATCGTCGGTGGTGGCATAGCTCTCGAAGGTCTCGGGCCCGTCCCATCATCGTCGTCTGTTGTCATAATCACGTCGCAGTCCTGCTCTAGGACAATGTCAATCCTGTTGGGGTCCATGGCAACGGGAACTCTCACCTGCAGTGACGTGATGATGTCTCCGCGTCTCAAGACACGCTTGCCTTCATTTGCAGCACCACCTCCTTTCATCCGAACAACTGCGGCCCGACACTGCTTCAAGCGACCATACCAGTGCATGCGAAGCGGTACACCTCAGGGCGCATTGGTTGGTTGGCAAGGGCAAACGACATGACCTGAGAACACCAAACGGCCGACTCTGCAGACGAGGCAGCATCCTCGAAGCTCCTTCCAGCAAAGGGTGACTCGCTATCGAGGTCATGGTCGGCAGGAGGCGGCTCGAGGATGTCCTGGTCGCTCGGGTCCAGCAACGGAAACGGCGGCAGCTCAGCATCAGCAGCGATGCAAACTTCATAGACCCATGCTCCCTGTAGTGTTGCCGGGTGGCTTCTTACGAGCCTCGCCACAGGTGTAGGTCCAGGCAACAACGGCCACACGAGAGGAGGCGCCGACTCGCGAGCGCGAGTCATCGACCAGCTTCACGTTGAAGGTTGCCGCGGGAGATGGAAGCTGGTATCTCCTTGTCCTTGGCATCCTCCAGCAGCTTGGCCTCGCCACACTCTGGCTCCTTGCACAGAATGAGCATGCTCACAAAGGTCGTGGCCCTTTAGCACCATCATGACCTCCGGCTCGTCGATGCCGATCTCAAACCGGTTGTTGAACATGCCCGGGAGAATCTCGAGAGCCGTGCCGCCGAAGATCGCGAAAACCTAGGTCCTCAGAGGCCTCCACGAACACCACGGCCATACTCGTTCCCCACCGACGACAAAACGTTGAGCTGCTCCGAAAGCCAAGAGCATCATTGCCTGAAGGTTGCCGGGAACCTGCGCTCCAGCAAACGCGTCTTCCAGCCGCTTACAGTCTTGCTCCGAACAATGTACTGCTGCATGCTCTCGGTAGGGAGGCGCCGAGCCGCAGGGCTGTAGAACGCCGTGATGAACAGCTCGTTGTCCTTCAAGGTCGCCAAGAGGAGCTTCATCCCCTTATCCACTGGCTTTCCGTGGCTGTCCATAGTCATCAGCTCGCCGTGGGTCAGCTTCCTCACCGCTTCGTAGGCTGCGCCACTCAGCCCAGCACGCCAGTGTACTGGGGAAGCGGCCTTTTCTGCCGTAGTACAGGTCCCAAGCGGGTTCCTCTCCAGAGTACTGCGGAACACCATACCTGTCCACGTCAAGCTTCGCCGCGGGAAACATCACCTTGGGGAAGCACTTAACAAAGGCGGGCGAAGTAAGCCGGGGGGTAGTCGAGGCCGCAAAGCGTAGGGCTCGAACAGAGCGCGGTCAGGGCTCAAGCGAAAGCCTGAATCCGCTTACCATCAAAATGCCGCAGGCAGCGCGCTGGCACCTAAAAGGGTGCCCTGGTATTTCCATAGTAAGCGCTTAGATCTATCATTATCAGCATCATCATGCTCAAAATCTGCTGTGGGCATTGCATGTTGTTTGAAGCTCGTGGTCTAGTTTTATTCGGAGGTGGGTCGGTCTGCATCTTGCACCCGAAAACCGACCCGATAGTTCTTTCGGAGACTCTGATAGCTCTTTCGGTCTCTCTACGAGAAAGTATATGACTGTGTCACGTCTCTCATGTTCCACACGCACACTCAGTCTTGTTGCACGTGCCCATCACCTGCCCGCATAACGCGGTCCAGCTCAATCTTGAAGTGGACCATGGAGGGGATGATCTGCCCCAGGAAAGCGCCATCTTGCACGGCAATGCCTCAGGGTTTGGCAACGCATGTAGTTTAGCAAGGCAGTTGACACGTAGTTGCCTGAGCATGAGCCCACCCCACGTTTCTAAGTCGAAACGTCAAACAGAGCCGGTGCAAACCTAGTTCGCGGAAGTCATCGAAGTGATAAGCTTCGGCAATCTTGGATAAAGCCGCAAATGCAGATCTCGTCCTCGCGCCGGACAGCCGTGGTCCTTTGCCAAGTGTTGTTGACAGCACATCTTCGGAGAAAAAATGCTCCAGTATCTCCCTCCCGCTAATTGCTGGGAAGCTCTTCGGGATGCTGGGCAATTCGTTCAAGCCGAAATGATGCTTCACCAGCGGGTGGAACTGCAGCTTCCCCATACACGCATCTTCAAAGCGGCTGTTGCTCTTGAACATGAGGTGTGACAGAATGTGCATCTCCAGATCGTGGATCGTGAGAATCGGCTGGCTCACGAGGGACGCCCGAACATAAGATGCGACAAGGAGAAGTCGAGTCGCAAAGCCTGCCAGGATGTCGCCAACGTACGGATCCTTTAGTAGCTCTTCCTGCAGGCATTGCCTACGACTTCCACAAGCTTCTGTGACATATTGCGTGCGACCCATGAATGAATGTTCGGCAGATGCGTTTGCTGATTGTCCCAACACTGAGACTGCCGACGAGCTTCTTCTGAGATGTCTCGGAGAGCACAAGCAGAGTCAATCTCCGCAACCAGCAGCTCCGGTCTCCTAAATGTTGAGACTGATACTCTTAGCATGCTTCTGCCGGCAACTCCTTAGAATTATTCAGGACAACAGCGACTCACGGAACACGGGAACTTAAGAAATGGGTGTGCAACGGCTTCCAAGCATCAGAAATCCATACTGCTCAATGCATTTCTCAAAAGCACTAGCCAGCTTCTTGGTGTCGGACTCTGCGGACGTCTTTCCCAAGCTGCCTCTGAACAGCACCGGTTGCTTCAACAGAGCTTCTGTGATGTCGGGCACGGACTTTCTCAAACGGCCAGCAAAAGTGTCGGCCGTGACCGTTGATGAGTCTGCACTTCCTTCTCGTTCGACACCAGCTGACAGTTTCGACAATGATGTGGGGACTGCGTCTTCGAACGATGGCTCTGGCCAGGTTGGTCGCTGGCGGATGGTTACTCTATCACCCGAAACACAAAACTTGTCCGCATGAAGGGCCAGCATGCGCCCAATGCCTTGCGTTTCTCGCTCACGCTTGGGTAACAGCTCAGAGGCATATTCGCCCAGTTGGGAAAGCAACATGCTGCTGCTGCTGCCGCCATCGCTACCGAATTTCTCTACCAAGCAAAACACCAGCACGTCATCAAAGCTTTGCACTTCAACGGTGTCGACGATGCCAGAGTCCTGTCACGAGTCGGGCAAATGGTCAAATCCTCTTGACAGCACCGCCGAAACTTGTCACTCCAAACTGATTCGAGAACCCCAGAACTGACTTAGCCTCCACATGTGTCTGCGTGTCTTGTAGCCAGACGTAACAAGTTCATGGACGTTTCATTTGTGTGGCCCGGCTGTCGGGCTCGAAGCCACCCCACCCGTGCAGGCAGTTCGGCAAAGCAGACTGCAGCACATTCCGTCCTCTCGCACGAGGAACTCACACTTGGAGAGCACATCTTCAGCTTCCAGATCATTGCTCATGCACAACAGCTCGAAATCTCGAAACATCATTACCCTGGCGGCAGCAGGGACAGTGATTCTCTAAATGCTTGACATGCTCATGCTTCACGAAAGCCGCCGCAGTGAGGGACTGGGTCTTTCATTGAGCGTAAACACATCCAGATTCTCTCCTCAACCGAAAAGCGAATTCAAAGTTTTCTTGCTGCAAATATCGCACCTGTCACGCCTCTGCAAAATCGCAGTCGCGAGCATCAGCAGACCATCAGTGTTGTGGATGTCCTGGTCCTCTGCAGCTCTCCTGCAAGCTTTCCGGGATATCACACCAGAAGCGAAGATTTGAATACCGAAGCTGTGGTAGCCTGAGCTCACAATACTTGCCATGCTGAGGCCTGGCAGCCTTCTGCTTGCCCTTGTTGTTTTTTGAGCCCCTTGTGTTTCTTGAAGAAGACCTCGTTCTGCAAACTGGTAACCCCTTCGCTGGTAAATGTGGAGCCGTACTGCGAGACAGCAGGGCGAACAAGCAAAGCAAACACCAGGGCAGCGACTCGTCATCGTTGTCATCGGCCTGCATGGTAATATGTTCATAGGTAGTGTCCTGTACGTTTCGGGGCAAATATGGCAAGCATGCAAGATCAGGTTGTCACGCGATGTGTACTAATACACTGACATGCCTGGCCTGCAAGGCTGCTAACACACCATCTCTTATACTCGCCCGGGACCTGCACGACCGCCTGCACCGATGACACACGACCATGTGGACGAGCCGGCAAAGTCTGCCTGCCTCCGATGGTGATGCCAAGCTTGAGCAGCCACACAGTATAGCGGAAGGGTGACGAAGGATGTCGGCGAAAGAAAGTTGACCGACGATTGCCCATGGAGCACACGAGCCTCAGCTGGAAGGAATGGAACTAAATCAATGGGGTTGGTGTGAGACGTCTTTCGCACTGCGGCGCAGCCGCCTTGGTGGGAGAGTTTGCGCGGCACGATCTTTCCGGAAGTAGCACAGGCGCACATGCTTTCATGCTGCAGCCCGGCTACAATTCAACTCCTAACGTAGCCTGTTCGAACAACGGCTGGAGAAACAAACCAGAACCGCACAAACGAAACAATCCAAGGTCACAGCTTCCTTGAGGAGTGATTGGGCCAAGCTGCACAGTAATGCTAGTGAAATGGTCGTCAAACAGAAGGTGTTGTCTACCCAAGGCCCGCGGCCTCGCAGTCATGAGACTCAAGCGACGAACTGTTTCGCTGGCATGCCATCTCAAAATGAAGTTTGATTGCAAGGAATGGGTGCGAATAGGGTAGAAAAGCACATGACCATTGCGTCTTGCCACAGCTTTTGTGGACGAAACCATTGAATGCACCGCAACTCGAACCATCAAACTACCTAAACAAAATGTCGTTTTTGGATGCACCAAGCCAGAGGATGCCACAATCTGAATTGTTGGTTCGCGCCGCCAGCACAGAAATGCTCAGCACGAAGAGACAGCTGCACTCGGACACATCGCTACGAACATTTACGGACCCGATCTCACTTCAAAACATGTTTTCGCCGTAGCCCGCACATGACGTCGTCAATGGTCATCCGGCTGTACAGAGTCGTACCGAATTCCCAAGCACCAAAAACACCAAGAAGATCCAAAAAGGGAGGAGGACCCTGGCTGCGAGCGTAGCAGAGCTTGAGCTACCCATTAATGGGCTCGATTCCTCGACAACGTAACAGCAGAACGGGTCTCACAATGCTGGCAACCCTTTTTCGCGCCGCAGGCGCCGGTGGATTTGCAAACACACGTGAACTGTTTCGAGACCTAAAACCCGCTCGTTACTACAAGCGGTGGCCTACAGACATTCATGCTGAGCTCCACTGTGCCTCAATCATATGACTCATATGTCTTCAAGGTCGGACATTTGTTTGTCCACAACCTGTTATGGACATGAAAGCTGATGGACGACGCTTTTTGAGGCTGGATACGGACGCAAATGGCTTGGCCAACGGATCCCTGCCAGCTTGGCCGTGGTTTTATCCATCTGGCACAGTGACCTTGCATATATCAGTGATCTTGCAACACATCTGTTGATGCGTATGTGCCACCTGCGGCTCACGCTGCACGAGCTTTTGTGATCATGCAGAAGCCTCTTACATAGTTTTCCCATGTTCTCCACAAGCCCCTTGCGAGTAGTACCCCCGGTGCTGTGTCTGGTATCCAACGTGGAGGCGGCCGTGCAGTTATCCGGACGGATTTTGGGTGCAGTCGTCTGCCCGCCCGCTATGCGTGGGTTTATGCCATCCCAAACAATCAAGTGAAATGTATGGAAACCACAACAAATTCAACCAATCCAACGAAAAACCAAAAGATCTAAAAAGTAGGGGATATCCAAACCAATGAACCCAAAGAACACACACAACAAAAAGAAGATCCAAAACAGAACATGTTAACAACTCGGTTGCTTCGCTTCACTTGCTTTTTCCAGCGGCGTGAACTGGTGGTTGCTGCGGGCCGCTGTCACATTTCAGAAAGCACAGCAGCAAGCCACACCACCACCTCAGCCGGCCACAGCTTGCAGTAAACCATATGGGCGAGGCACGATGTGCGCTGGTCTCGAAAGGAGCAGGAAGGGGAAGAAAGCAGCTGCAGAAGATATGCCTTCTCGAGCTCGCTTGGATAATTCAGGAATAGCCGACATCGCCGAAACTTCCTGTAAGGCAGAAGCCAATGTGCCGAGAGGCTGCAGCCACATTCGCCACTGAATTTCAGAAACTGCATCTCCCCAGCGATATGCCGCGACGGCACCTCCTCCCCGAAGGCAGCCTGGAGTTACACGGATCGGTACCTGAAGGGCAGCTAATAGCTTGCTTGTCCCATCTTTGTCGGTACATCCAAGGGCTGCCCGGGAAAAGCTTGTCCGTTGCATGTATCTTGGCCCAAACCTTGAGGAAGAAATTCCGGAAGTTGCCTTGAAACACCACCGCACTGTGTTGAACCCAGGCGCCTCGCCCTCTCGTCTTGGGTTCCCGGATACACAGAAAGAAGCGATTGCCTTCGCAGAGCAAATCAGCAGGCGTGAGGAAATCTCTGCGCTCGGCCCGAAGAACTTCCCCAATCCTGAGGGAACCGTAGAAGCAAAGCGTCGCCACGGCCCAAAAGGCCTAATGCCAAGCCAGGGCTGTCGCGCACATTGCTAACAAAATAGGCTCCGGCATCGGTGTGCGGTGTGTAGTAGGCTCAACCCTTCCCCGCGTGTTATCTGTTCCCATGCTGGCCGCATAAGGCTGCGCGTGGCCGGTATTAGACGATGAGCATCTGCGCTAGCAGCTCTGGAAGGGCAGACAGATCCCCACGCCCCCTCGCCAGCTCCATGGGTAAGCCAGCCCTTGAACTCCTCCCAGACCCTCTTTCTCAACCTCGGAGTGCCTGGCTCAACTTGTTGGATGTCCCTCAGACTGAGTGGCGGCCTGCTCGATCTGGGCCGTCGGGGCCTGGCCCCGGGTTGCTTGCTTCTCCGAAGCCACTTTACGATGTCCAGAAGCCTAGATTGGCCCAGAAAGCCAGTGTCCTCGATAGCATGAGCATGAGCGACGAGGGCGCAAAAGCGCCGCGGGTAGCTCTCGGACAGCCGTGTCCACTCGATCCCAGTGGCCTGGTCCCGGCCCCGTAGCATGTGATGCCGAGCTTCATAGCCACACAAGAATTGCTTTCCAGCCAGATTTCCGTTGGTTCTGACGCGCGTCGCCTTACGCCATGGAGTCCCAAATACGCACATGTCGCAGAAGAAGTCCCACGGCTCGGGTGAGCCTCGAGGCCTCGCCAAGCTGCTTGCTTCCACAGCCAGGAGCTTCGCGGATTTTCAACGAGATGCAGCAATCCCAGCTCGGAGGCTTCAGCGACAAGCCCCAAAGTGAAGCTCAGGAGGTCATTGTCGTTCTGGACCTTCACGAACTGGTCGGCAGTCAAACCCGGCCGGCCTCCAGGGAACTCCTTGCTCCGATAAGCGGCTCCAGCAGCTGTAGAAAAACTTCCAATTTCAGCGGCCGCGCGTGGCTCAGTGACAGTGGGTCCTGATACGCTCTCCGGTTGGCCGCGTTCGAGAAAAGGGGACGGATCGAACGGAGGTGCTCCCGCAAAAGTTAAGTGCTCGGGCTGCACAGGCAAAGAGTGCGTCGGCACTGCGAAAGACAGTTTCGGCAAAAGGAAGGTTCGGGGGCAACCTGGCCGGCATGCCCCGAGCAGGTCTTCCACACCCTCAAACTTCCATGCAACTCTTCCCATGTCGGACGGGCCCAGAGTTCCGTGTGCATTCCAGACCTCAATGTTGGGCCGCAGTGCTAATAGGCGCCCGACCCGGGCCAGGGAACAGCCTCAAACTCAGCTTCAATTTCCAAGTCAGCCAGACGGGCTTCAAGCCCTTCCAACAGCAGCCTCACGGCGGGGAGCTCCTGACGCAAGGCAACAACCTCAGCCGGGAGAGGCTCACACTCATTCAAGAATGCGAAACCATTCAGTCGGCAGGAGCCGGGCCGACCTGCGAATATATCGAAGGGCCAGCAGTCGGAGGAGGAATGCCAAATCCAGAAAAAGCCCTCAAGCCAAGCCCACGAAGAGGCCACACAAGGCAAGTGCAAATGACCCCAAGAAGTCCAGGCGGGTAGCTGAAGGCTCGAAGGGGGGATTTCGGGAAGCTCCGGCTCCGGGGGGATTACAAACCCTCCGAAATTCAGATCCCGCAGAATCTGCAAGCACAAGCCCACCAATCCTCCAGAAGCACCCCCGGCTACGATTGAGATCAAACTGTAGCAGACGCAGTGAACATGTAGAGCATTTTCACCAAAAAAACCTTTTGTCCATCTTTCTGGGTTTTTTCGCGCACCTTTTCGTCTGGCTTCCACGGTCCCGGTGCACGATTCTTTTGGCTTTGGTTTTTGTTGGTTCTTCGGGGGGGATTTTGTCAGTTTGAATCGGACAATCCAATGCCAAGACAGGAAATGCAAGCACCACCTGAGCACGGCCTCCTTTAGCTGAAACACCGAAAAACAACAGCATTGTCACTTTTACCATCTTATTGTGGGAAGAAATGAATGACATGGAAACCAAAACCCAAAAAGTACACGTGTGCTTCGTGTAAGCAACAAAAACAACGAATACATTTGTTTTTCTGTTTTTGGTTGTACTATATGTAATTGCTATATCCTGGGCCCTTGGCACAAGGCTACATGTGGCGTTTTTGTGCCTTGCTTTTCCCACGCACCTTTTTCACCATCCGATGTGCGACGCAGTCCCGGTGCAGGCCTAAGGGCAGATAGGCCACAGACTACAGGCAGGCCGTCAGGCGCAGCGTGCACCGCTCACACGGGAAGGCTAGCGAGAGGAGGGGGCAGCTCTCCATCGACATTCGCGGTTCCGGCGAGACAGGAGGCTTGCTGCGAAGAAGCGCGCTGCGGCGAAGGACAAAGCGCAGACGGCCACAGCTCTCGAGGGTGGCGGATCGGAGTGTGCCTTGCACCGTGCAAGCTGTCTGACGAAGGTGGCGGCCTCAGCACTCCAGGGGCCGCCCAGTTCAACAGCAAGGACGGTGAGTTTGCAGCGGCTAGACATGCACAGCTCAAAGTAGGTGCGCTCTTTGGCTCGTCGTGCGGCGAGCAGCGCGGCGCCAGTAGCGCGACCCCCTGCCCGACGGCGGTGGGCGGGGACACCAGCTAGGCCCCTCCCCAAAGCGGCAGGCCGTTGGCAATCACTTCAATGCGCCGGTCATCTTGGCGGACGGGGTTGACATTGAGGTCCCGCACAAATACATTGAGGGCAACCGTTGCACCAGCCTGGCGGCAGATCCGTGCGGCCGCTCGCTCGACGGGGTCACTCCTCGCCGTTAGCAGGCCTGAGCGCGGGCAGGCCGCGAGGCGGTCTCCACAATGGTCGCGGAGTGCACGGCACCGGCATCTCGCGGCAGCGAGCGGCGGCGGCAAGCGGAGTCTGCGCAGGAGTATTGCTCGGAAGAGTGGGGAAGCAAGGGTAATAAACTCTGGCTG